CTTTGATAGGATGAATCAGTATTGTATTCAATTAACTGACCAAAAATGTATTGGAAACAAAGAAGTACATTTGCATGCAACTTAAATAATTACATTGCAAAAGTCATGTTAAATAAACATATCAATTGTCAAATTGGAAATCATACAAACATTTACAGTTTTATTGATTTCTAAAATATGTATCTGCTCATTTTCATGTGTTGCACGTCAGTTGCAGGCTTAACTGATCAATAGCATTTGAAATGTCATAGACAGATAAATCTGTCATTCTGCAGCCTAAAGGTGCTGCTGGCTCCCAGAGGGTTCCCTGAGTTGTGTTACTTTGTACAACAGGAGATAAGAAGAAGCTTTTTGGCAGACCTGCATACATTCGCTGAGCACACAATGATCCGTGACTCAGCTTCATGGAAGACTTATGAAGTACTTCACAAGTTAAAAGCGGAAATACAAATACCACCATACACCAATGGAAACATATCCAGTCTTTCCCATTTTGTCAACTAATGAGAACATCTCGAGGTGAAGATTTGAACACATTTTGAATTATCTCTACTATCCAAAGTAGAATGGGTGTGAGGCCTATTCTTTGAACCAGTTATCAGGCTAACTGAAGGGTGTTTACAGTACATGTGAACTACGCTACCTGATACAAATTCAACTTAATTATACCTGTTTTATTTACCTGGAGATAGTGCGAGATGGAAAGATAAGGGACCACCAAAGTTATTATAATATATTTTAAAATGTAATGTCAATGCAATAATAAGACATTTTACACTGAACACTTTTCACATGTCATTAAAACACATCCTCTGGGGACCATGCATGTGTATAAAATTGTATGGCATTTAATTGAACTGATGTTTCACACAAAACCCTCAAAAACAACTGCATAATGGAGGATCAATATATAGATATATTCATAACGATGATGGTAGACTAAATATTATTAACAACTCAAAGTATAGCAAAATGCAATTCAACAGCGCCACAAACTGGAACATCCGAAGTTGGTCAAACACTACATTCTCAAACACAGTTTGATCAAAATGAACAGTATCACTTCAGAGTGTATTTTCCATCGTTTTCTGTTGAAGCCTACTTACAAAATCATATTTGCGTACACTGGACAACTGTGTCTGTTAGAGAAACGTATTGTATTCGATTACTTCAAAAAATGATTACTTGCACAATTGTTGCTGTGCTGCGTGCTCCCTGTGGAGCATTTTCACAGGGGAATGCTGTAGATTGAATACAGAACCAAGGAGCAACCCTGGTTTTCCTGACAGTACATTTCATAAATGTCAGATTGTTCCAGATTTGTATCAACTTAAACCACTGTTTTGCAGCAGACTTTGTAACTGTCGGTTGTGTGCCTATCAATCGCCTCAGCCAGCAGCGATAGGTCTCATCCTCTTGTAGTTTATGTGGTGAAAGTTAGTCATGCACGTTATTGTCGACAAATCGACATTTACCTTCATGCCCTTAGGGTTACTCTTGAAAAAGAATAGTCAAATTATATTCTACATAGGAGGAGACAACTCCATTGGTTTACATCCTATAATCTTGAAATTATTGACATCTTTACAATCATTTGTGCAATCTGTACAAAAAATAAGTTTTACAAACATATTTTGCTCAGCTTAAAAAAAATACACATCTATCCCACCAGCTCTGTTGTTTTGGTATCAAAAGTCCAGACCATACTTCAAAGATAATGGCAGGAAGATACGATGTAATCAGAGTATTGTTGTGCAGGGCTTTAAAAACAGTCATAGGTTGTTTTTAAGGCACAGTCGGAAGTATTAACAGTCATGTTGAGATTGATATACTCCCCATACTTGTGAGAGCTGGTCGGAGTTCTGTAGTATTGTTGTTATGACTGAGGTCCAGTAACAATTGCTTGGCTCATAAGGCACATTTGCCCGAAATAAATCACCATGAGGAGGATCCGTCAGATCGATTCCCAAATGCCTCATGCACAGTCCCACGTAGACATCTTCGATATAAACAGCTTTAACATGTGCAGACGCCTCCAGTATCCTCTTGGGTAAATCCAGTGAGAACACATAGCCCAGCCCCAGAGCATACGGTGGGTATGTAAATTCGGGGAAGACTGAAACCGGCAGAAACCACTTTGATGTGGGGTCTCGAAGAACAGCAGCACCCCTCGCCACCATTCCCGTCATGTAGAGGTGTCGGGGGGCTTTCAAAAGCATGTCAACCAGGTTGTGGACGTTAAGGAACATGTCAGAGTCAACTTTCATGGCGTAGGAGGTGTTGGGGCAATGAGAGCTGAGCCATTCGAACATGACCATGGTTTTAATGGTGAGGTTATTGTAGCTATCCAAGAAGTCACTCTGGAGAATATCGTGATGTCTCTGGCTTTCCTGTAACACCTAGAGAGGGGGAGATAGCAGACAGAGGTTATAGTAGTTAATCCATTACTCAGTCACTTAAGGGGCTGAAACAAGCTAGCCAGCAGTTGCTTATTTACACGTCCAGCGGACACAAAGCAACAAGAGCATTCATTTGGAGTCATGTTCGTGGTGACCTGGCGAATGTATGTCAAATATTCCCTCTCCTTTCAGTTCTGATCTGCTGGTCTGATCGCCACCAAACTCATCTTTTGTACGTTTTCCTATAAAAGCCAGCAACATGTGTCAATTTATGCTTGTCGTGTGTAGTCTTTTTTATTTTTTAAATAGAAGTTCAAAGAAAACTACTCACTTAGGTTTAGGCAACAAAACTACTTGGTTAGTTTTAGGAAAAGATTGTGAAATAGTTTGGTTGAGGCAACAACATTACTTGGTTAGATTATGGAAATGATTGTTAAACTGCCTAGTTAGGTTTAGGAAAAGATCGTCGTTTGAGTTACAATAACCACAGAAGTCCCGTAACTACATTACGCAAGTTACGCAAAAAATAAATCAACCTTGACTTCTCCCTTCACATGGGGAGTGAACGGCGGTCTCTTAACTGAAGGGTCGCTGGTTGTTAAACCCCCCCCCACCTCGCCTCCTACCCACCCGGCGCGTGCTTTTAGGGTCTTTATTCTTCCTCGCTCACGATTACGTGGTTAACACACAATATAATTGCATGGGATATCTACGAATTACGGCGCATTATTTCTTTGTAGGTGTAATTGCGAATGCCGGACGAGACCAGCCTGACCAGCTAGTCGCTAACATTGTCTGTCGGTTGCTGCTGGGCAGGTTGCTTTAAATGGGTTCCCGTTCGCTGCTACAAACAGGGTTGATGAGGGCGGTGGGACTGAACCTGGATGGCAAACCAAAACTGAAAGACAATAAAAAGCATGGACCATGTGGGCTATTGTGGGAAACCTATAGGGTGATGTATCTCTTTGAGTTTGTAACTTAAAGTGACTGCTGTCACATTCCACATCATCATTTGATCCATTGTTAAGATGTAAATATTCTGCAGCGTTACTGTTTCAGTGCCAAAAGCAATGTAAGAAGCTGTTCACTGTCGTCCTCACATCCCAGCATACACAGAAACCAGTTTAGCTCTCTGTCATGACATGTGTTTGGATGCAGCTTTGCAGTAACCTGGCATCTCCACCTTCTTTTCTTTCTCTGCTCTCATTCCCCTGTGACTTTTGCGTTCTCTGAAGCACTGTAGCTCACTGATGTTGGACTATTCATTTTGCAAATAGTAAGAACAGAAATGCGCTTTGGAATTCAGCAACTTGTAGGAGATCAACTCACCTGCTCTTGGATGGTTGCTGTCCCATCTTCCTCTTTTGACATCCCCAGGAGGAAGTAGCGGCCGATCACTCTGCCCAGCACTGTTGTTTCTTTGCCCCACGTGCTGCGGATCGTGTCGCGGGCCTCTCTGTTGTGGGGTGCGACTGGGATCATAACAACCAAGAATGGTCTTTCTTGCCAACATGTATGTGGTTCGTCCACGATGAAACCGTACTGGCGCGGGTACGCCACAAAGTATATTGAAGGGCCATCTGGTGAGATCTGTGCAAACAGATAAGGCTTGTGTTTTTTGAGTGTTGTGCCTCAACGATTTATCTTTGTTTGTTCTTTATTGTTAACTTAACTACACTAATATTAGTTTTATGTTGAAAGACAAAACATGGAGCTATCAAGATGTTTTCAGGCTAAAGGTAAAGGGAGTGTAAAAAGTATGAAAACATGAAAACGTATTGCTTGACTCATTTTGGCAGCTGCCTTTGTTCCAAGATGACACCAAATACACTTACATCCTGCACTGAAGTAGTTATATTGTGGTAAGATTGGCTTGACGATGACCTTGTCGTCCAAAAGTTCAAAGGAAACGACACTTTGAGGCTTGAAATGTAGAAAGTTAACATGAAAGTTCCAATCATGAGAGACAGCATCAAGAAACACAAGCATCGTCTCGCTCTTGTCCATGGAGTCTTTTCACTGTCAAGACAAAAGTGAAAGTTATATCTTTAATACCTCATAACCTCACATCAGGAGCACTTTACTGTCCATTATGTGATTGGAATCAGGAAGCACTTTGCTAATATTGTGGTCCTCGTTAGTTGTGATTTATTGGTAACTGTTTCGAGCAAATGAAGGAGTCTCCATTAAGATCTGCATCCATCAGAAACTGCCACAACCGCGAGCTGCGCTGGGCTTCCTGCAAGCTCTAAAACATTTGCAGAGAAGCATTGTATGTATGTTAACACATTATGCATATCAAACCTTTATTTAAACAGATAATCTTATTGAGACACAGGGTCTTATTCTCAAGAGAGACCTACTGGACATGCTTTACAAGCTTCTCTATAGACTGTGGACATACTCTAATTAATAATAGCCGTCATGTAACATACTGCACACAGCAATCAATCAACAGACACAAGAAGCTCCAAAACCACATTACTGACAGGCTGAATGTGACCCCCGTTTCACCTTGCATTCAAATGTGTTTTGGGTGATCTGATTGCAATTGGAGAGTGTTTGACCACATGAAAGCACCGGCAGCCATGAGCCAGTGAGAAGGCTAAGCGAGAGAAAGCAGCAAGAAGGCTTGTCCAAAGTAAATACTCAAGACACTGGATGGGGACCAAAGTGTCTGCTTTCAGTTTGGTCCAACGAAGGTACGCAAGCAAAAACCTGGCCATTCGTATCACAACAGAGCCATTTATGTAGCAAAGGTAGATGCAAATAGTGGAGAACTGCTAAAACCGGTCCTGGCTCAACGCAGAAGAAAAGGGGGTGTGACCTTCGATTGTTTAAGCTCCACAGAGAGATCGGATGTCAATGATATCAGTGTGGACACTGGAGACTTGTATTAATACCAGGGGTAAATGTAATCAGCTGAGACTGTATAGGAAACGCTACAAACTTTGACAAGTATGACTCAAATTGCCCCTCTTTGAAACGGAGACGCTCACTTTCTTGTCACATGTTGGTTGAGGTATTCTGAGTTTGTGGTGAGACGTTCTCTTCAGAAAAGCAAAACACAAGAGGCAGGTTTTACAGTCTGTAGTGTACAAACAGCCGAGTAATGTGCGTTCCACTGACATTAAAGGCTACAGTATTAACTCTCACTGTTTCAAAGGCATACAGGATGCATAATCAAATATCCTGGCAAAAGTAAACTGCACCCCACCCTGTTGTGTGTTTGCTTGTGCGATAAAAGCAACATGCTTAAACAAGCAGGCGTGCAGAGGCTTGTTTTTGACATTACGGTATGATGTCTGAGGGTTGACATGACAGAAGCTGCACAATGATTTAAGCAATAACCTCAGGTTTAGGTCACAGTGTAAGTATATATTTGTATATAATTGGAGATTCAACTGAGGAAACATTTTTTTTGTTCAGAAATGTATTCAAATAACTTTTAACTTGGAGGGCATGGAGACTCTACTGCACTCCATCGGACTGATCTCTTTTAACAAGAGCCAGACTATATTTCTAATCAAAGCCTACTCAGCAAGCACAACGAGTCAAGACATTTGAAATAGACTGAATTAAAATGTGGACTCACCATTTGGAAACGGAGCTCTCCAGCATTTTTGACAGAGAAGGATTTCCGAAGGCAGTGACAGCTTCAGCGAGCTACCATACAGACAGCAGCTGCAAATGAGGATGTTGCTGTAGATGTGTCACTATCCAAATGCATTGTGGTTTGTGGTGTGAGTGTAAGCAGATTAGCAGACAGGGCCTTCTTCTTAGCAGACACCGACAGCAACACGATGCGGGACAAATGCATGTGACGACAGAAGCCCGTATTTCTCATTGAAACGCTGGTGTTGGGTATGCTTTGGCTTAGCGTGCAAAGAACCTGATGAGTGTGTTGTGAGTGGAAGCATCAACATGACTCAACATGCATCTTTATAACTGTTAAATGTTATTGCGTCATTACATTTACCAGAAAACATGACAGCTCTCCCTAGTCTATTTTCTCTACTTTTGCATTTAATGTAGCTCAACATTCTGTGTTGAAAGACATTCTAATAACTTAAAAGTTAAAAATGTCGTAAAAATGTAGTCAGTACACCAATGTTTCAGAACACTTTCTGCAAAAAGTTTCACAATGTTCCACAATTAGGAGTACACTTGTTACAGCATGAGGAAAAACTGATGCCCTGATTAAGTTTGGAATTGGTGTGTGCATTGAAAATGCCTTGAGTGAATGTTGAATCACACACTGTGAGTCTTTTTGGAGGGGATTTTCTTATTGCTGTGTTTTTTCCGCTTCTTTTCTGCACTAAAAAGAGATAGAAATGCAATAACGTCCATTATGACATCCAAGTGAAGTTTATCACAACATGACTGATTAGATGAGATGTGGTCATTGGAAGCCGTTCTGAGAATACTCTCAGGGAGCTCCTAACTTAGCCTAAAACACTCTAGCAAGGAGTCTTAGCGTAGGAGTCCTTCAGCAAACTTCTAAGAGCAAGTGTAGTTGGTTGACCCCCCCCAAAAAAAAAGAAATACAAGTGCAGTCAGTGGTAATGGGCATAGAATCATAGAATTTAGACTCAATTCAGACATCACTATAACATCAATGTTGAATCAATTGTGAGCCATAGACCTACTTTAGAAACACCCGATAAAATATTCGAAAAAGTTCTGCTTGCGCAGTAGCCTGTTAACATGATGATAATTGTTATATTAAATTGCTGACCTTAATTTAGTCATTTATGGCAAAAATGGCTCAGCTTTCATCAGTTTCTGCGAATCTTTGATTGGTTTAGCATGTAAATCTGGAAACCAGCGAACACTGCTGCACTTTTCCATTTGCCTAATATCTTCGCGTCGTAATCACGTTCATTCCTGGTATTGTAGCGTTACTGCGTTGCGTGGGAGACGTGGCACCATCTAAAGTGTACAGCTTTTCCCTAACTCCCCCTCATTAAGGGTTTGGAGAATATATCTCCGACCGCTATAGTCTTTGTACCATTTTGAACAAACTCCAAAGCTTCTTAGAAGTCCTGCTCCGTACTCATAAGAGTTTTTCCACCGTAGGAACTCTCTTAAGCAACTCTTTGAAATAGGAAGCTTCATGAATATGGTTCTCTAGTAACTTCATAGTGACTTTCTGGATATAAAGCTGTATGAAGAGAGTTTTGGTTCTATAATAATAGAAACAATACTTCTAAAACCTCTGTGCAAAGTTGATCAGATCTCCAGTGTATGGGGGACTTTCTATGAGGGAAGTGAATATGTTATGTCTCTCATGCAGGCTATTTATTTTTCTTGCCTCTGACATTGTCTCAAAAACTGTAGGCTCATATTGGAGAAGTACATGCATATGGCGGGTGCATGAGAGGGTTTATTGGTCTTTTGAAATACTAGTATGTTGGGATCTGACTATATGGCTTCGACATGTGCTGTGGAACAAAGAGAGTCAGGCCTTCCCTTTTGCAAGCAAAGGTTTCATCCTGATAGTAGTTTGAGCACCAAACCCCCCAACTCTGGAGAAATTCACATTAGGGTGTGAGTTTCCTCCCCCCAAATGCAACACTGCTCTCATTGGACGAGAGCAGGGATGCCGAGGCGGGACCTCCGGTCAGACGACCCTGCTCCCCCAAAAAAACTATGCTTCCCTGAAGGTACCTGAAAGCAGCGCTGCAATCTAATTGGCCGAGAGCCAAGACACCCCAGGACCCCTGTGGTTCATCCACTGTTCTACAAAACTACCTGCAACCCCCACCTCAATGCTTTTTCCCTTCGACCTCCATCGAGCTAGGGAGCACACCAACGTTGTTTCCCTTTTCAACCAAATCCTAGGTCTAACAGTTTATATTCGCTGGCCGAATTCACCAAACTGTCTATTTTATCTTTGTTCGTATCCACGAAGCGAACCCTTTTATTCCTGCAGAAGTGAAGAAGCAAGACTTCTTCAGAGAGAGAGAGAGAGAACTTCCACTCTCCACCAAGCGCCTCGTTTGCTCCGGTCATAAGGACGCGAACGTCCCTGATCCAGACGAAGCGAATCCCTCCCACGGCACGTAGCCGCGCTGCCTGAGCCCACCGAAGCTCAGAAGAACCCCCCTCAATCACCACGATTGCATCGTACCGTAAGGCGAAATAGAGTCTGGGCAGAGTTAGAGAGAGTTTGATTTGTGTTTATTTTTTCTTGTTTGTGTGCTTAAAGTACTGTTCATTTTTCTAACGTGGTGTATGCTTTATGATCACCGACACTGGCGATCCCTGAAATTGCTAGTGTTGTGTAGAAGTTACCGTGTATTCCATGCTACTGTGATTCGTGTCGAGACAGCCGCAGTGAGGTCGAAGTTGCTTCTCATCAGTTCAGGAGGTCAAAACCGCCGGCTGAGACAAAGAGTCGCGGTTCTTGCTCCCCTGGCTGAGAGAGCAATCTTCCGTACTCCCGCGCGGAGCGAAGGATCTTAATCTTTTGTTTTATTTCATTTTGTTTTGTTCCTTTCCCTTCTCTTTTACTGATCCACACACACACACATATAGCTTTGAGCTAATCTAGCTACGTGGTAAACGGCTACTGGCACTAGATGCCGGGTCTCCTGTTGGCTATCCGCCATTTTGACTCCGCGCATGAGAGACATCACTACGTCCCAACTACGTCATACGTCGCTGAGCTGTTCCCTCGCTCCTCCCCCTTACGCACACACACACACACACACACACACACACCCCCCCCCCCCTTTTTAATCGTCTGTTGGTTTTAGATAGCGTGCTAATAAATGTATAGTTGTTGTTAGTTTAGATATTAGTTGACTAGATCATTAGTATTAGAACGTAATAAACTCTGTTATATTTTAAAGAGCAGCTGTCTGTGATTACTTTGTGCATGTGTATTGTGATAATAGCTGTATATGTGGTCTGTGCTCGAACTTAAACCTTCACTTTCACTCTGAATGTGTAATAGTACTCAGACTGTTGACATTGTGAGTGAACACTACCGTATTTTCCGCACTATAAGGCGCACTTAAAAGCCTTTAATTTTCTCAAAAAACGACAGTGCGCCTTGTAATCCGGAGCGCCTTATATATGGATCAATTGGTTAATTGGTTGATCTATACTGGTTGTACACGGCGCTCTGTCAAAATGTTTCAGTACGACTGGTAAACTACAAAGCCGCACCGCTTGCAGCATTACGGCTACCGTAGTCAGGGGCGTCGCCGAAGTAATAGCGGTAAACACCGGTACTGTGCTTACTCCTAGTCCAACACCACTTGTGTGTATAAAGACCCCAAAATGGCACCTTTCAAGAGACACGCTTACGACGCTGAGTTCAAACTCAAGGCTGTCAGCTATGCAGCCGAACATGGGAATAGAGCAGTGGATGACAGAAGGCGAACACACGTTCACCAAGACGGGGAGACAGCGCCGAGCGACTTATGCCACTATTTGCCAATGGATCGTGGATGCCTGGGCTGATATATCAGTCTCAACTGTGGTCCGAGCTTTCACGAAGGCAGGAATAATCACTGAACTGCCAGGCAATAGCAGCGACACTGACTCGGATAATGACGAGAGGGAGCCGGGCATGTTGGATGCCGTACTCGCCCAACTGTTCAATTCGGACACTGAAGAAGAAAAATTCGAGGGATTCGTGGACACGGAATGAACTGAAAAAGTGAGCTTTATGTGTTATATACGTACCATAACTGAACAATGTTGAGTTATGCACTAACTTTTGATTTAGCGGTATCGGATTGTGTTTCTTTTACGTGTTTACAACTGAACAAGGCTGGGAGATATTGTGAATATGCACATTAACGTTTGAACAACGTTGAGTTATTGTGAATGCACTAACTACGTTTTATACGTAAGTTGAACAATTTCGAGAGTTACTATATTGTGAATGCACTAACGTTTGATTTAGTGGTATCAGACTGTTTCTTTTACGTGTTTACTGAATCAGGGAAAAGTTCCCCTCTACGTTTAAGTTACCGTATTGTGAATGAAATCAAAAATCAATAAAGTTTGACTGAATGATTTATCGGACTGTTTTGTTGACATTCCCTTTAGCACAGCTCCATCTAGTGGATGCATAACGCAACCCCTGTCAAACGTTTGACTGTAGTAGCTTCTATTCTATGCGCCTTATAATCCGGTGCGCCCTATATATAAAAACAGTTCTAAAATAGGCCATTCATTGAAGGTGCGCCTTATAACCCAGTGCGCTTTATAGTGCGGAAAATACGGTAATTATGAGACTTAGTTTATCGTTTGTTATTGGTCCCTGTTCGCAGGGTGGTGCCCCATTATTGTTAATAATCATTAATAATTGTTACTGACATTAATAATTCTATTGATGTCAAGAATTTAGTTTCTTAGATGCTGATAACCCAAACACGCTCCTTTACGTTCCCAACATATTGGTGCCCCCTTTTTGAGGCTATGTTATTCCCAACAAGTATCAGCCGAGTTATTTAACCCTTGCTTAATGCTGTCATAGAGATATTTTGTTTATTTTGTCTGTGTGCTAAGATTAAAGCTGGTGGGACTTTTGCCAAACGAGTTCACATGATGCTGTTTGGGCCCATAGCTGCATGGAAAGCTCTCTGTATTTCATAGCATACAGGGGTTGTAGTGTCAGGTGTCTGTGGCATACTCCTAGCTGCTGCTCCGTCACTACGGTCCATCCCATATAGAGATGACTCTCATGCCAGAGGAGGCAGATAAAAACACTCCAGCTTTAAGGACCTTTAAACTGAAGTAAAACAGAATATCCTACAGTGCTCACTTGCAATGATAATCATGTTTTGGTATGTCCCCCTTTGGTCTAGACTGCTATATCACTGTTGGGTGGATAGCTATTACATGTTGTGCAGACATTCATGATCCCCAGACGATGAACCCTAATTACTTTGGTGATCCACCAACTTTTCCTCTAGCGCCACCAAGAGATTGGTTTCAGTGGAAATGTCTGAATAAATGTTGGATTGCCATGACAGTTGGTACATACATTCACGTTCCCCAGCCTGTCCTCATTTATTCATTCTAATGACGTCCCGAATCCAACCTTTACGAAACTTTGTCGTTTATAAATATGAACAGAAACTGTTGATGGCTGTGATAATTCAGCCGAATGGAAACCAATCAACCACAGCGTACATTCACTCATGTACAGTATGTGGGAATGTACGCTATAAGCACCGCATCTGTGAGACATGCAGTCATGAACTTTTGAACTTTGAACAGTTTTTACTTCCTGAAATGCTACTCAGAAATACGTCATCAGACTTGAAAGACAACCACACCAGTGGACATTGAGCACGTAACTAAGGTCAAGTTGTGAACATTGTTTTGTGATGATAAATAATGATTTGGAAATACATACATTTCAACAGAGAGCGAGACAGGCTTTTACTCATGAAGCAGTTGCATAGCAAGGAGATGTTATCATTTTCTCCTGAATTATATTAAGGTCTCATTTGAGATTGTCTGAAGCTCTCTAAAAACAAGGGAAGATTATGTTTAATACGTGCTAGCTTTGATTTGCAGCCTATTTTGTAAACTCTTTTAGTCCTGCTTGCTCTTTACCGTATGGTGTTGTTTTTAGAAAATAGACCATTGTCACTTCTTCTCTGAAAGTATTGTTCTCTCTAGGCCTTTCTTTCACTAGCAGTGATGAGGTCATGTTTTTATTACAAGTTCTACCTTGTGACTACATTATAACTTCTCCGTTTGGCCATTCAGTGTCTCCTTTACATTCAAAAAGTGTACGAGGGGAACTTTGCATTGGTCATTCTTCATTGTCTATGTCAAAAAATGTGATGGTATAAATTGATGCATGTAGTGGTGTAATTCTGGCATCTGACACATTGTAGTTACTTACAATCTGATCTTACAGGAACACGCCACTCGCAAAATGACCATTTATACGATCAATTACTCGCCCCGTCTTACCTTAAACTTCAAAAGAGAACTGGTTTCTTGCATGCCTCCATGGTGAACACATTTTTTTTTGGATGATTTGAAATAAAAAGGTGCATTTTTAACAGCAAAACAATTTGAAGTCATCTGTTTACAAACGCTCACACAACTGGTGCAACATTGTCCGAGTCTCATTTATCCAGTCGTAGGCTCTCTACTTCCAAAATACATGCAACATCGCTAAACATTACTATTTCAAACCTTTCGGACTGGCAGCGTGCCTGCGCCAGTGTGATACTGTTTATGCGGAAACGTTTCAAATAGGAAGGGTTTAGCAGAGATGCATGTGTTTGGAATGTACTGAGCATGAAATACTAGTCAGGTGAGTCATTTAACCCTTGTCGCTTCTGTCACAATAGTTTGACAGCAATTACAGCCTTTTTCCTTGCTTTTCTATGTGCAGTAACATTAAAGCTGGAATGCAGGACTTTTCCATCGAAATGAACGTCCTTGCAATGAGTTTCCACAATGCTGATTGAGCCCATCGCTGTCTGTATTGGCAGTGTACCGTAGTTGTGGTATCTGGTGTCTATGGCCCATGTTTACCTGCAGGTGAGCTTGCCGCATCTCCTCCGTCCCTCAGAGCGTTCTCTCAAGGTCTTACCATGCAATCTATTTGACTTAAATCCTTCCTCTGAATGCTGAGGTTTTGTTTTTTTAACCAGGTCATCCGCTGCAGAAACGTATCTCCACCATACTCCTGCTGCACCGTTGATATGGTCTCTCCTATATGGAAATGACTTTGACTGCAAGATCTGCATTGTGTTGAGGACCAGTACTACAAACCTTCAACATTTGTCTTAATATATTTTACATAAAATGGTGGAAGATGAATTAACTGGTGTGTCTAAAGGTCACATTTGAGATTTTGGTTAATTTGGGTTTAAGTAATTGTAATCATTTCACCTTTTATATTTATATATCCCAATGTTTAGGAAAATAGTGCAAAATATTTGGTAAATAAGCTTGTTTGCTTCCTTTTTGAGAGTGAAATGTAAAATATGATACCGTTCCTAAGTATGGAGGTAAAACCGGGAGGTGTTGAGACTAGTTTACCAAACACCGGATGCAGCGTTATGCAACATTATGTTTAGTTATTACTTTATTATCAGGCTACAAAATGCATAGTGCTTATAATTACAAAAAGTGATTTGGTTTGATGACATGCGTTTTCTGTTGTCTTTTATTGGTTTCTATTCACTGCAACATTTGACAATGCCAGCTGATCATAGCTCAGCTCCTATTTCATTTAGGGAACCTTAGTTCAGCTCGGATTAGCGCAACAGAGTGTGAAACTGCTTTTAGTGAGTAAGAGCGTGTCTGTTTCCCCTAATCGGAATGCAAGGTTTAACAATACCATCAATACGTCCAGCAGAATTGTAAGGGAAACAAAAATGACTGCGTGAGAAGAGAGGAAGTGGGCTGTCAGTCAGGTACATGTGTGACAGGAAGAAAGTATGAGGAAACAGCTTGCAGAGAGTCTGGTTAAGCTAGAGCCAGAAAATTAAATCAGACAAGGGGACATTGGGGAAGTAAAAAAAAAAAAAAACAGTTGTGTCAGATGACAGGCATCCAAGATGTATAAAACAACTCCTATATTTTTTATTTGCTCTCAGTTAAATTATTTCAACCAATATATCCAAAGAATAGTCAAACAAATGAGCAGAAATCAAAAGACAACCACTATACTGTATATTGCCATCGAATATAACTCAAATAGTTAATAGTTGTATCAAACAATCTCAAATATCCAGAATTCATCAGTTCAAATAAGACAATGACAGTTCCTTGTGTAAATTCAAAACATTATCCACTTTGCTTAAATATTATGGTAATAGTCTTGTTTTCTTAAAGCTCACAAAGAAGAATGTGGTCTGGTTCAGCTTGGAGTCCGACTATGTATGCAGTGAAGCCCCCTTTGGCTGACTGGTAGTGATCTCCATTCCAGAGTGACAGGTCCAAAACATCAGTCCGTTAGCAGGGTTGTACTGCCGTGAGCACCCATCCATCCATCCAGATATCCATCCATCCAGACATCCATCTATTCATCCATCCACATATCCACCTATCCATTCACAGATCCACATATCCATCTATTCATCCATCCATCCATCCATCCACATATTCATCTATTCATCCATCCATCCACATATCCATCTATTCATCCATCCATCCACATATTCATCTATTCATCCATCCATCCACATATCCATCTATTCATCCATCCATCCATCCACATATCCATCACCATCCATCCATCCACATATCCATCACCATCCATCCATCCACCCACCCATCCATTCATCCATCCATCCATCCACCCACCCACCCACCCATCTATTCATCCATCATTCATCCATCCACCCACCTATCTACCCACTAATGAAAAGATGAACAGAATGAAAGCAAAAAGAGGCTCTGAGTCTCACACACAATGTAAGAGTTACAACTCTCACAAATAACAGAAATTCTAGAGAACAAATCACTGTCGTGTATAGGTCTATGCATAAGTTATGGAAGCTGTACAGAGACTATTGTAACAAACATTAAAAACAAAGACTGGTTATAATGCTCACCAACCTTCTAAAAGCAGACAATTCTGAAATAAAACAACAGAAAATAAACATGTTTTTGGAGGGACATCTCCTTTTTTCCCCTTTATCAGTTTTTATCATTTCATAATGGCCGGACAGAAAACAAATATACTTCATCAACAAAATACGTTTCTTCTCCTCCATATTAAAAGAGGCTGCGAGAAATGATTGTGTCATTTACTCTTTTATCTATATTTATTTGAATATTTTTTTTATCTAAATGGGTGTTCATGCAAATAGAAAAAGCCAAGTCCTTCATGATTTCAGCTCGGTGGTAAAAGATGTTAGGTCGCCTCTTGGCCAGCTCACCTCTTGATGAGTTGTCTAGTTGCTGATTACTGGGTTACAAGGTGAGCTGGCTGCTTTGCAGTCTCTCGGTGCCTATTAGCTCAAGAAGTAACGCCTTTTAGTCAGCGAGTTACATCTCCATATACACCAGCTAACTGTGCTTTCTCAGTAATTAAGTTCAGCAATTGCTTCACACATCACTTATTATCTTGATATTCTTGCCATTTCTTTTAAGTCAACCATTTTAGCGTCTAAGGACCAAACCAGGAATTGTATTTTGAGAGGTTGACTTGTTGTTTTAAGGTGGACTGGTATTCCAAAAATCATTGCTTGAAGTCTGCCTCGTTTACTGACAAGCCACCTAGTCCACAGGTAGATGGATACACCGAGAACTCAGCTAGGTAGAAGGTCGACTGGCATTCTGAGATTACACTGCTTTTGTCTTTCGGTCGACCGCCATTTCTGAGTATTTAAGCAGCTGACAAATCAACCTGTTTTCCGGGGTACACAGCTGGTGTGTGACGGCAATTCAAGATACTTGCTTCTTTTTGTGCTCCGAGGTCCAACTTGGTAGCTTATTTGACAGACTTTCTCACTCATTGTTAGTGACCTTTTCATTGACTTGTCCAGTTCATCACTTCACATGTTCAATCTTGTCCTCAGACTCTCTGCACCAGGCAAATGTGTATGACCAGTCATGTTGTATCATAGCGCTCCTTTCCAATGTCCATGGCTGCACAGCTTACATACCAGTTTGTCTCAGTCTGTACCCAGTTGCTGTGTCCAAAACCAGCATACGATCAGTTTTACAATCTGAATCTGTTTTTGTATGCAGTCTATCCAACCGTTGGGCTCATACAGTCTTAAAGCAATCCTTTGTTCAATCTGCAGGCAGTCCTCAAGTCAAGTAGTCCCTCCTGAAAACCAAGGCTGTACACCGTCCAAAACCTCATTGAAACCCAGTCGACCAACTAGTCCATCTCATTTCCAAAGCCGGTGTAAAAACTGGTTTGTAATCCAATACCAGTTGAGCAGTCCCTCTACCAGATGTCAGAGCTGAGTTCTCTGCTGGTGAGTGGTACAAAGGTGCTGTTCAGGTGGAGTTCTGGCTTCTTCCCAAGCGTACTGCTGTGAGGGACCTGGAAGAAACACAGCACAACATTGATCAGAAGGAACCCTCCCCCAAACCACAACTCCTAGCAAGAAATATATCGTTAAAAAGAGAAAACAGGGTCTGTAATTCTACAGTACAGTACTATTGCATGCCAATAGTGCACCATGCCTCATATATGTGACAACTATACTGTATGTGACAGCTAATTCCCAGTCTGTGAAAACCAATACATATTTTAGATTGGATAATATGAAGGTGCTATTTTAATTCTACATGTTCTTTTATCCAAACAGACCTCTTGTTCCCCAGTGATCTGCTCTGAACCCCTGGGGAGAAAAGAGGGGTTTGATTTTTAATTGATTAAACTCTGAGTACATGCACATAAACAACAGCATGGACATTTAATGAAAGGATACACTGTTGTTGGATGCTAGAAACTATCTAGGAACTGCAAAAAAAGAAAACAAAAAAAACAACAAGAAGTGGTCCAGTCTTTTTTTCCCCTCACCTGTCCATTCAGCAGTGTCATAGGGATGTTGCAATAGACGTGGCGCCCTCCAGGGCCCAGAGTGGAGAACTGCACGGTGGAGGGAGGTGGGAGGGGGGGCGACAGGGAGGAGGGCTGTGGGGGAAGCTGGAACTCGTAGCTGCGGCAGAAATGCCTCATTTGGGCTGCTGTGGCAGTGTGGCCGCCTCCCAGCGGCAACGTCATCTGGTTGTAGTCGGGGATCTCTGTCGCTAAGGGAACCTGCAGTGAGACAACATGACTTTCTGTTAACACTTATAGAGTATTATCCCAAGAGGCAATTCAACTTTAGAGTTATTTATGCCAATACTATCATTTCTGGATGAACTGTGAAAGCCAATAATCGTCTTTGGATCCAGTCTGGTCGAATAATTGTGGTTCTTTTAAAGGGCAATGGTGGAGATACAGGCAGTGCAGCCAATGGAGCGGCACTAGGACTCGTTCTCTAATGGGGCCCAAACATGGGCCGTCTGGGTAATCATGCACACAGTGTACTCGAGGACAGAGGAACCTAAGTGGCCCGATCTCTTTAAAATGTAGTTTGACGAAAGCACTTTAAAATATGCTAACCCATGTGTGTCATTGTTACATTTGTATTACATTTCAAATGATGTGCCACTAGTCTGCATAAATGCCATCGCATTTTCTTTTCTTTTCATTTTTAGATATACAGGAGGTGAGAGAGAGTTATTTTTGATGGGGTGGGGGTGATAAGGCCCCTGCTGCACACACCCTGACCTATAAAATCCAAGATCTGTGTGTGATACTGTGTTTGTGCCATGCGTGCATCTACATGTGTGTTTGCATGACTGTGCGCACACCTCACACGTAAACATTTTGTTGCACCGGTGTCTGTCGTTACTACATGACACAACTAGTTTATAGAAACATCAGGCCCAAGTAGAACATCTGTTTGAAGTGAGACAGCAGCTGACCTGATGATGTCCATGGCGACTCTCATTGGGGTGCGCCAAGGAGGCGGAGGTGGTTGTCATGGCAATGGTGGAGACGGTGGTCTGCAGGTCACCAAAGAGGCCCTGTTCACCGGAGTCCATCACCTGTTACCATAGAAACAGATTTATACAAATGTTGAAGTAGTCAAGGAGATTTTATCTTGCAGACGCTACCACAGTGATAGGAAACGTTGGTGGGTTATGTTTAAAGATAAGACGCACGCTATTCTATGTTCTCATTAAAAGAACACGTCACCAACAAAATGACCATTTGTGTATCATTTATACTGGTGTCTTGCTCTGAGCCATGGACCTCCATTGTTCTCCAAAAAACGTTCAAAACGTATAAATTAAATAAAACAGTGAGCAGCCTTTTCTGGAAATCACTCGGGTGCATTTTTTAAGGAGGGCTCGGGGCTTCGTACCACAGACAGGATATGGAAAGTCAAAAACTCAACACAGTCGTCCTCTGTTGACACTACGAAAAATAAGGAATAACAAATCATGGCCTTATTATTTATATTATTTGAAAATTTGTATCAAGGTTCAAGTTCCCTGTGCAGTATTCTTTACTCTTTATACAATATACCGTATTTCTTGAAAGTTAGTCTTGAAACAACAGTTGCTACATGTCTTCTGGCGTACTTCATATCAGTACCGGTCATACTACGTGTACAGACAACAACGCTGAGAGAAATATGATTGCAGATGAAAGCCAGAGGTTCAGAAAAAACAAATCACAGACTTTGTTTGTTTCCTTTGGTCTGAAACTATCTTGCGAAAGTTCACTCTGTTGCATTTATGTATTTAGTTCATTTCAGTTAACGCTGTCCAAGTCCAAGTGAACTAGGACAGGGAAACAAACGTCCCATGGATTCAGGCAGTCCATAAAATGTCATCCTCCAACGTTGTGGTGGCGGCGAGGGGGGTCAAAACACAGCTGATTGCCATTCAGTGTGTGCTGCTGAGCATCATGGATTACTTAATTTCTTCAGAGTTCTTGCGCCATTTTTCAAGAAGTTAGGTAACGTTCCTCGGCCAATGAATTGAGGATGCACTACATTGTGTTGTAACAGGTTCTCCAAGCATCAGATGCCAATGTCTCAGTCACAAAGCCCTGAAAGTTAGGATGTGTGGTGAGTTACAATGGCACTGTTCCCACCTGGCCTGATGAACAGAACTAAAGGTCTCTTCCACTCATATAGTTCACTCTGTCTTTGCTTCTCAGTGATTATCCTCCAGTGCCAAGCAGAAGCAGAACATTCCTTTGCTAATCAGGGCATACACCACCTGAGGTGTTAACACATGGTAAACATGTACACATTGTTTCCCCATTGTGACTCCAATTTTCATACATTACCTGTATTTAGCAGACATTTCAAAGGCCATCTGTTTGTTGTGAGTGTGTGCGCCCTCAGGGGAGCATAAGTAAATGTGCTGACATAATTTCCGCAACTAATTTTACATTTTATTTTTAGTAGGCTCCTAGACATGCCATGGAGATGTTCTGCCTTTAAAAGGGTGTCAGGGCTCATTCTTTAAAACCTGCAAATTCAACTGTTCTCTCAAACTATGTGTTAGCAAAAAGTAAATGTTGCTCTTTGGTACTAGGTAGTTAATGTCTGAGGTTGTGCTCATGCAAACACTGCCAGTGTGTATATGACAATGTTAGACTTCTGTTTACGGCAGTAGTACCTGGCGTCTGGACAATGTCTCTCTGCGTTTAGCAGGCATCTCGTAGACCACCTGTTTCCAAAACTTAGACGACAGCTCATTGCTCTTAGGACCCCTCCACTTGATGATGGATAGAACCTGAGGAGAGTAGAACACATCATTTAGTCGTCTTATTGCTTCTAGCCTCCCGGTGTCTAACGACACCCCTCAGATCGCACCCTTCTATTCATCCCTCTCTCTCTTATACCTTGATCGTATGTTTAAGTGCTTCCACCTCCTGGTAGTTGATGACATTCTTCAGGTCTGCACACTCTATCATGATCACCTGGACGCACAGAAGAGGGGTTTAAGAAGGGAGAACAGAGCAGCTTTTCAAGCATCTCTCCGTATTGTCCTTCACGTTTCCCGTTCGCTTCCCCAATCATCACCTTTATCTCCCCGGTAACCAGCATGGAGTGGAGGCGTGTCTCAATCTGGAAGATGCTCCACCCTCTCTTGGCGACAAACTCCGGAGTCAAAACAATGATCAAACGTCTGCTCTGCTCCACACTACGAGCCAAGTCCTCAATGTAGGCTGGGAGAGGGAGAGGCAGGGAGGCAAAGTTAGAGCGAAACAGAGCAAACTGAAAAACAGTTCCAAACTAAATCTATGGAAAGTGAATGTGTTCCTATTATTTTTTTTCTATTTTTCTTTACGTAGAATTAAATATATTTCTCAAAATGCTCCAGCTATTCCTTTAGTCGTGCATTTCTTTCTCAAAAATAACAAGAACATAAAAAGAGATAAAAACCCAGTGTGTCAGTTATTACAACAGGAAAAGGCAGAATAACATTGGGGAAACATCCCTGTATAGTATCTGCTGGCGCTGCCCTTCTGACTGACAGCAGTGTATTGTAGAGTGACAGAAATGCTTGTGCAAGAGCTTTGGCTCTGACACAGCGCAGTGGAATCAGCTCTTAAAGGGGGATACACCCAACATCAGCTTTCACGTCTAAGTTACGGAGGGAAAAGTGAACTTCAGTTGGTGAATCTGCAGGTGAGGAGATGTGCAAAGGGAACTCAATGCAGCGCCACGAGTTCACCGCGGTTTTAAATGCTTCTTTTCATCCCCAGCATTGTGTTTTTGCTTCACACCGAGCCCACTTTTCAAATGATTCCTTTCTGACATTCTCAATGTTTTTTGTAACGCAAGTCATTATTTCTTTTTTTCTCTTTTCAGTTAGCGGAAATGTCTGAAAACTGTGTTCTGTGATAAAACAGATTGCCTCTCTTTGTATGTGTCCCTCCTCCTACCATCTCTTCGCCTGCTAACTAAATTAATGACAGAGACTTTCCAACAACACATTGCAATTTCATGCTCAATTTGAGGGGCACAAATAGAACATCCCAAAAATTCAGTCCCTTTCTCTCTCTCTGCTGCTCTGCTGTTCCATCTCTCTTTTCCTCCCAGTTAACCTCCCCCTCCTCCCTCCTGCCCCTCACTTCCTCTTCCTGCTCTCTATTTTTGAGGATTATGTAAATCAATTAATGAAATAACACAAATCAATGACCCCGTCCCCACTTCTCCCTGTTCCCGTTGTTTGTTTCTTGCTCCCTCGTTCATTTCGGAGGGCTAATGGAGTGGATAATTGAACGGTGTATTTTAGGTCGATTGCCATGTTGCTCTGTCAATGGCTTTGGTGAGCATTGAAAAGGCACCTCTCTCTCTGTGTGATTCACTCATTCATCTTCACACTGCGTAACCTTTAGTTCGTACGCGGCTCAGACAGTGAGCGGTTTTGCACGGTGGACATTTGTTTTTAGGATGTTTTCAGGGCATTTTTGGAGGAAATATGACTTTGTGTGTTTGTGTCGTGACTGTGTGCTGTAAGGAGGCATCATTTTGCCAAAGGGCAATTTATTATGAACCATTTTTAAGTGAATTTATTTATGTACTGTATTTCAGGAGAAAATGTTAAATAGTGCAAAGAACACACATTAGTTTGTTACTTTATAGCGGCTACATTTTATTTTAGGATGTTTTTTTGGACAAGCTGAATTAGGGGTTATGAAATGCTAATGCACAGGGGAGGATGGCTCAATATTTGATTCAATGCATTAGTTTGATACTTCAGTTGAAGTACCCAGGTGCCCCAGTGACTACTGAATGTGCTTTATGATGTTTTTTAAAACAATGAGCAGGTATACTTCATCGTCACTCTTTTTGAAGCACATAATCACATTGTCAAAGTAAAAAATTAAATGTTGTCTATTTGTAACGGGACAACAAAAATACCACAAATTGTAGAAATAAAAAAGTATTATTATGAAAAAAAACCCGATGATAGAATATCTTAGATACCTGTTTATTAGGTTTGGATGAAACCTTAGGACATGATGTGTGCCACTGCTCTGCTACCTACAACTACAGTGATTGGCTTAAAAAGGCCTCTACTGTGTTAAACTGTCCATATTTGGGTCACAGTATCTCAGGTTCGGAATAGAAAACATACCAGAATGTTGCTTTTCATTGCTCCATTTTTGGTCTGTTAAAACTCTGGTTATATTACATGTGTTTCCTTGGTAACCACTTGGCTAAAAGTCCGGACTGTGCTGTCGTTTTATTTTGCATTTGAATATTGACCAAATCAGTTCTCAAAATAAAAGTGCAACGTTGTCTTTACAGCGATACAGCATTTGCATGTAGAATACAGTGTGTGTGTGTGTTTGCTGTCTGTGAAGAGGCAGTCAGGAACAAAGACAACAAGATGGACCTACTGAATGTAATGTAAGCTCATGAATGCAAGTCCAAAAGCACATGACTGGTTGACCCTTCACTGCATTGGAGCGCTGAAATAGTTTCGACCAGCTATTAGAAAAGATAAGAAGATCAGGTGTACTCCTAATATCTCTGTGGGGACATTTGTTCTGGACTCCATCCTGCAGTCCCATAGTACATTCAAAAACATACAAACAACACAGAGCTTCCATGTAACAGTTTGCACATCAACACCTTCTGAATTGTAAAAAAAGATAGATCATCATTTCATGTTATCTAAGAAATTCAGTCCATATTTGCTGCCGTTTAGTCTTTCAAAAACATTTACACTGCAGTCAGAAAGCAGTTTGTTCTCACTCTTCCACACAAAGGGAGGCAAGCAGCATAAAAATATTCATTATTGCAACTTGAATAATCCTCCCAATTGTATAAATAACCAGGAAAGCAGTTCATATGTGCATAGGCACAGATACCTTTAACAATTTCAAATGTGAGTTTATGTGAAACAGGCCTGCAGCTAGCAAGGCCAGAGATGAGTTTAACAATGGTGTGTGTGTGTGTGTGTGTGTGTGTGTGTGTGTTGGGAATACTGACAAATCTGTTTATTATAGTATATCTGCCTTTTTTTACTCATATTCTGTATGGTTCAGTGTGTGTCAATAATGGAATTGTGTGTCTGCGTGCACTTGTGTGTATGTGTGTGTCAGGTCAGAGCATTGACAGATAGGGCAATACCAGTCACATAACCCTACAAATGATGACAAACGGTGTGTGTGTGTGTGTGTGTGTGTGTGCGTGCGTACTGTGTAAACTCCATACATCCTGTGCTGTATGTGTGGGAATATGTTGATGTGAAATTGAGATCTAGACATGTGAAAGACACATATTGTGTGCAATAGTTTAAAAAGGAAGTGAAAACAGGAACGTGTCTGAGGTAGAGCAACACTATGTCATGTTCCTGTGTGTTTGTGTGTGCGGGGTGGTTGAGTGTACGCAATTTACACCTGAGCTCATACACAGACGTGTGTGTCTTTTTGCAAGTGTGTTATGATGAAGATCAGCATACGTTCTTATTTATTCTGACAGTGATGGATTCTGGGTATTGGGGGCTGTAATGGAGGAGGGGAAGAGAGGCTAGAGAGACAGATAGATGGATGGATACTTACTACTGCTGGGTATTAGATCTCTGTCTGGTATGAACAGCTTGTATCCATAATGTTTCTCTAAAACGTCCGGCAGGATCTCCAAAGCAAATGCTTCCTCATCGCTGCTCGACCTGCCGGGGAAGAGAACAACAATCACGGCTCCAGAGTCAAACAAACTAGTCAAAACCTTCATTTTATTGTTTTTATTGTGTGTTTTTCTTATGTAGCAAAATGGGACAACAGACTACATTTTGAGTTGCCTGGTTTTGGAGATAGCGATGTCTGCCTTTACTTAAATATAATGGGACTTTATGCCCCGAATACATTTGAAAGACTCCACAACAATGTATCTTTCCAGGAAACGTGACCTGGTTAGTCAAGATACTCCACAGACCTTGTTGTGAGCAGTTTGATGGAGGAACTTTTTACTTTCAATCACAGTTTCTGTTCACAATAAGGTCTGATGCTTTGTGCAGCACAAGCTGAGCGAAATATAGTCCCTTTATATTTGAGAGAAGGCAGACAATACGTATGTGTGTTGAATATGATCTTTGAAAATGCAAAAAATAAAGTGTAAATATATGATGTATTTTTGTTATTGGGAATTTAGGAAAGTTTAAGAATGCCTACAAAGTCTTGTATGATGCAAGACATTTACAAGTGGACACCTTTGCTTCTGCAGTGAACCGTAGTAGTGTTGAACTCATTTGTAACTTTAGTACAGTAGTAATGCGTAACATGCACCCAAAGCAGGCTGAAGCCTGATGGTGGCGCTAGACCAAAGTGTGACCATTAAAAAGAATGCTGTCACTGTAATGAGTGTAATGATGCAATGCAAAAATCATTGCGCTTGGCTTTCGTTTGCCAAGAAATAGTCCCAGCAAGTAACAAGTAACGCCCTCTAAAACCTTGTGCATGGATCAAAAAACAAGATCCAACGTGCTAATTAATGAGCTCTGGAGAGAACCAGATTGTCTGTTTCCCCCTGTTAGCAAGTCCTTTTTTTTATGGCTGTGATTGTTAGTTTGAGAGTCAGTCTTGTTAGCGTGATATGAAAGCATTGTGAAATACATATACATGTGTACAGCAGACACTGACCTGCCCAAACAGTCTAGTTCCACTTTAGTGTAGGACAGATAGGCGTCGTACTCCTTATTGTCTGTGAAGAGAGACACAGAGTGAGTGAGAGAACACAATAGAGGGCAGGTACACATCTTTTGGAAATCAGTCAGTTTGAATGATTTTAGGCATTTGCATCACAATTATCACATTCTATTTTCATTTCAGGAATAACTTTGCTGATCATGTTTAAAGCCAAGTTTGACCCCTGACCTCCTTACAAACAGATTCAAATGTATTACTGTATTTAAGATTGTACTTTTTCTTGAATGTTGTGATTGTAGATAGTTTACTACATTTGAAACATGATGAGCTGACCCCATCCTGAGTGATGATACTTTCTGATCATTCCTACATCTGGATGAGAATGAAGGAAATCAGCAGTTCATCTCTGGGGCATGAGATCTCAGCAAATCAGAACGGATCATTTGAAATCAAATGCTTTGAATCAATACTACAACATTACGTCTTTGTACTTTTCTTTGTGTATTTTGTTTTCTCCATGGAGCTGTTATTTATTTGGATTTATTGCTTTGTCAATTTCACTTTTCAAACGAGCTGTACAAAATAAAGCTCATCATTCATCCTCAATTCATGACAGAAAAAACAAAAGTCAAGTCAAATGAAGAACAAACACTGCTGCCGTATGGTTGTCCTGCAGTAAAAGTGAGCACACCCAGCGAGGCTTACCGTCTTCGGTTTCATCACTTCCAAAGTGTCTCCTGTAGCAGAGCATGATCTCCAGGTTGTAACACTTATAAAGTGCTGTCAGGACTCCCAGCAGCAACAATATGACTCCCAGACCTCCAGCCAGCTCCAGACGATACATATCTGCAGTCAGAGAGGTACAGCAGCGAAGGGAGGAGAGAAGAGATCGATGAGATCGTACAGTTTATCAATTCATGTTCAAAGCATCTCTGACGCTGACGTCAAGGAAGAAGGAGGAGAGGTTTGAAATACCCAGGGGGCTCAGTTTTCTGCTGGATGTGTAAGTTTAGTGAGCAAACGTGTTGTCATACGAACTTTAAACCAAGTTCATTTTAGAAAATGATCGCTCGTTGATGTGTTTGTTCGGCTGTTTTTCTTCCCTCCTGTCATCGTTTCGTCCATCAAGATTTAAAGGAAGCGTATGTGACTTTTACTGATGAGTTGTAAGTTGTACTGATCAGACTGGCTCAGCTACTTCAGTTACACAGCAACATCTAGCTTATTAACATTAGCTAACATTAGCCACTATAAGATAATGGTCATACCAGGCTAAGTAAGGATGTAGCAGCAAAGCCCCTGAGTGTGTTGAGTGTATTGAATTGATCAATGGTGTATTTATTGCATATGAAAGAGGAGTGAGAGGAGACATGTGTTATGGGTTATTATTCTCCTATAAATGTGGATCCGGACGCTTACCATTGAACTATTGAGAGAAGCACTGCTTTTTATTGGAGGTGGGGAAGTTAAACCAACCAGTGAAACCTTATCCTGAGAGATTCTTTTTCTTGTAAAAGATAAGCACACTGTTTGAAAACTATTTTACAACAAAGGTGAGATTTATGCTTTACGGGGTTGGTGTAACTACAACTTTTATAGTTTGCATGCCCATTGGTTGCATTGTGTATTTACACACACACACACACACCAACTCATCTTCTTTTCCCTGACTTTTTCAGGAAACAGAAATCTGAGACACATATATATATGCATATATATATATATATGCATATATACGGTCAAATCGGCCACAATGAACAAAACACACGTGTGGGTGTGTGGGGCCTTCGACGTGCTCAGGGACAAAAATAGAAATTTGAACATTGGCAAACATCATGCCAGTGAAGATCTTGTGATATCACCAAAAGCTCCAGAACAGCTTGGACCTGGTGTTATAATTCATTTTCCCACACAAAGTTAGAAACAAGGGAGCGCACATACGTGATTCTTTCTCGGCGGGGGGGGGTAGATATTATCACTCAATGGCTTTATATACACATTTCAAGTGTCTCGTATTCAGATCAGACTTACGACACTTTATCCACATCTTTGCAAATCTGACTCCATCTGTCTCGCTTCTACCAGCTACACGAGCAAAGTTGCTGAAGCTCCAACTACAGTCCAGAGGGTGATAGTAGCTGCGTGATAGCTGCCATAAACGCAACGGGAACAAACGTAGCACACCGGCACAACAATTACAAGACGAGATACGGGGAGAACGACTGCTAATGTCAGCATAACAGCTGTCATTATCACAGGGGACACGTCCTGATGGTGGTAATCTGTACAGGCCCGCTTACTGACAGTTACACTCGGAAGGAGTACGCACTGAAGAGCGACTGATGCATTCACACCTTTTCAACATCTGACTAAAATGCATCTCATTCCTTCTTGAATGTTTCTTGGGTGCATTTTGTTTTTATTGTATGTGAAAGGGCAGTGTGGGGCTGTATCTCCGTTCCTCATCCCAAATCAGTCCTCCCTGCACTGCCCACATCTCTATGTTCTGCCTGTAGAAACCTGTGAATGACATCATAGATTCTTTCTAGTGCCTGTCTATCATTTTCTCTCAATCCCTCCTCCTCTCCTGTCAGCTCTTTCAGTCGGCCTCCCTCCCTCCATTTTTTTTCACCTAGTAAGTCTCTTGTCATGGTGGCTGAAGTCAGCTCTTTCCGCTCTGTCAGTCACAATAAGTGGATGCGTACGGTGTGTGTGTGTGTATTACAGGTGCGCGCGTGTGTCTGCGCGCACGTGCATGCACGCCAAACAGATGCACCAACCCGTTAACATCGGCCCACTGCGGGGTGAGAGCACACCCTAATTCAATCACACACACGGCGCATGAAATCAAGCTTTGATAACTTGGGCTAACTTACGGTAGCTTGTGCTTCGTTAAGGCTGTTGTGTCGCGTTCAGGCGCGCAAAATGTGACCCCGTTAGCCTCAGAGGCTCCGGGCCGGGAGGCGCTGGAACAGTCTGCCGGCTAGTTAGCCTGGTTAGTGAACTTTTAAAGAAGCAGCCTACAGGCTGCTAGAGGTGGACATTAGGAATGACTTTGCACATCCAAACGGTTATGTTCAGTTCAATTCAAAGGTCAACAGTCACTGACGGTGTATTTAGATCATGTACATCGCTGTTAAACACAGCGTGACCGTCTTTAGTTCAGTCTCTTAAACTTAAAGTTCAGTCTGTTACTGTAAACTTGGCCCTGTATGAGCACTGCTTCTTTGTTTGAGTGCTCAGCTCCCCCAGAACAAAGTCTCACTGTGACTGTCTGTGACTTTTTGTGGTCGTTCAAAAAGCTTTTGACCAGAAAGTGTATCACGACTGCGGTGCTTTTAAGTCAACGGTGAGGGGGAGCTCCTCTGCTAAAAGCTCCTGATTGAGTCAGTGACATTGCTGATGCATTGTACTCAGTTCATCTCCATATGTCTTTGTCCATTCATACAGCGCCTCTAGCCTACAGCACACGTTTGGAAGTTTGTTAGTGAACTTTTAAGAGGTGAGAACAACAAAGATAAGGTAAATAAATCCATGTGTCCCAGTAAAGTAATTTGCTCCTGTGATCCTTTTGAATGTTTTCGCTTATTTTTCTGTACCACAGTTTTGTACACAGGAACTACGCACACAATTCTGAATACTCACGAATCAACAAAAAGTCTCAGCAGCACATATGTTTCTCCAGCAGGATTATTACGTGTCTACTTAAGGTGATTTACCAAGTATTCACTTTTAGCTGCACACAGCGCTCAACCAGCCACTGCTCTTGTTTTGTGATCCAACACCGCATGTTATTTTTGCATCATATTTTTAATGCTTCCTCTTCTAACTCTACTGAAGACGAGCTCTATGTGGAATAGTCAGTTGCTGCACCTTATTAAAAAAAGTATGATCGTAACAGTGTTAGCCCCCCCCCCCCCTCTCAATGCCAGTCAATGTCATTTACAGCTAAAAGCTGAAATATGTTATATTAAAATATCCCTGTACTTCCACTCAAAATCATGGTGAATGTCATTTTTGGTTTCAATGAAATCCTCTTCAGTTGTCAAAAATACTTCCTAGGTTGACCAAATAATGGCACTAAAACCACGCTGTTACACTCAATCGCTGGCTCATTTCCCTTAAATCTCCTCTGATCACAGAGAAGGAGATGTAGATGGAGACAAAGGTGAGTTTTAGGCTTTGGGACAACTGAGATGTGGATTGTGCATGTAATGAGCAGGAATTGTCACGTATTGCTGGACTTTCTAAGGGAAAAAATGAGCAGTATACATTTTTAAAGATATATGAACCGTCGTGTGAGGATTCGTCTCATTTGAAGCTGACAGAGCAGCTACACACAGAGCAGTGCTGCTGTGGCTAACAGGGATACTTTGAACACGAGTAGATGTACATACTGTATGTGCATGTAGTAAAGTGCACTCAAACACAGGAAGTGTGCTTTTTAAATGGTACACTTGTGAAGAGTGTGTGTGTGTGTGGCACGTCACACACACACACACGTACGACCCCACAGTTCCCATCCTGACCTACTGTGGAGGTGTGTGTGTGATCCCATGTGTGTGCGTGCCTGTGTGAGAGTCCCTTGGGTGCTAGTTAAGTATAGTAAGATAGATTTGACACCCAAGGCATTCAGCAGCAGTCTTCACAGGGAGGGTTTTTAGTCCTCTCTCCTCTTTTTTATTTTCTCTTCACTTAGACTATATTCTCACACACCCCTCAGCCTCCCCGCCTTTATCTCTCCGTCTGCATCTATTATTTCTCCCTTGTTCTCCATTTCCTCGCCTCGTTCTGTCTCCCACCATTTCTGTGTCTGTTTATCTCTTTCCACATTCCCCCCAAATCCCCCCTGTCCCTGCTCTTCTGCATTACCAACATTTATTTTTATTTCACATAGAGGACATTCACACAGCCCTCTTTGCCGCCCAAAATTCGAGGTAACAGAGACAATTTATCTCCTCCTCCGGCGCTGTTCTGCTTTGTCTCTCTAAGTTTCTCTCTCTTTCTCCGGGTCGTGGCCTCCGACTCAAACGGGCCCCGTTCTCTCTGCTCATCAGATGGAAAGCACGATACCGCAGGACTGCTGCAAAATGTTTTACAAAGGGAGCTGTGCCCTCATGCATTTTTCAGCGGAATATTCAAAGCTGTGACTACGAGATCCTGTTCTTTTCTACTGTCTCCATCTGTCTTGCTCAGCATTGGTTGCTGTGGTGTTTTTGTCACCACACTTTCTAAGAGAACAGTCAATCAGACTCTTATTACAGAGTGTCCAGTGCTGTAAGATCTGTTCTCTTGGACTTCCTGTTGGTCAGTCTGAGAGTCTACATGTGTGATACTGTGTTCTTCTTGTCATCCGTTTTAGGACAGCTACCCAAATGTTTGAAATGAATCTTTGAAAAAAAGCTTTTATACATCATTTCATGTTGAAAGCACACTTTAAAGTGTTCATCATCTTGGAAGCTGACATCCACATATATTTACTGGGCAGTTGAAGAAGCTTCAGGTCCTGATCTGGAGGGGTTTTCCTTGTTAACAGAATTATAAAAAGAAGTGGATTATGTCCCAGGTAACAAGAGCAGATACAGTTTCATATTGAGCATGTCAGGGTTCAAATCAAAGCACTGCATTCTGGGACAACACACTGGGAAAGCTTTAAATGCAGAACTTGACTTGGCTACTTGTTTACTGTCTAATTGACAGTGTGAATATAAATGAAGGTTCCTTAATGTTTAACCTGAATCTTATGTTCAAAAAGACATCTACTGTATATCTCTATATCTCTATCTATATCTCTGAAGCTAAACTAATTAACATACTGCATCATGTTTATTTAATGCATGCAGAAACTGAAATATCTACCGGCTTACTTTTTCCTGGTAATCAGCAGCTAGGTGGAGTGACTGTCATTTTTACTTTTAGAGTTTGCTAATTAGTGAACTCTAGAGGTACTAGCTGTTTCCCCCTGTCCCTGCTTACATAATTGCCTCATAGACACGAGGGATCAATTTGTCAAAGTCTCAGAAAGAAAGCAGATAAGGGTGTTTCTCACGTTGCTTATTATTTATTCTATACATTAATTCTTAATGAGATATAGAATACATACTTAGGTTTTCATGGTATCAGACTTCACAGCATCAGTGACCTTTGCTGGTTGCAAGAGTTTGAACAACTTTAGCACAATGGTTTGGTTCTCAATTTTGAATTTGTTACAGGTAATAAATGTAACTAGAAAATTCCTAAAGAAATTTTGACAGTGTGGCTTCTACTGCCAGAAGAAATCGCAATATATACACACGCCAATGTTACCGGTAGTGTCATTCAGGTTTAATTGAGATAGCGCTACTCTCTTTTCTGTATTTTAGATCAATACTCTTGGATTGCATCTTGTATTTGTGGGGCTTTTATTTTGAAAGGGTGGGACTGGGTGGGTGAGAGAGGGGGAGAGGAGACAGAATCATAATGTTTGACACTAAAATGACTAAAAATCACGGCGGAACCCCATTCAAGTGAATGGGGACATTTTGCTCAGTTTTTGGGGATTTTCGGGAATTTTCAGAAAACCGCTTGGCAAATCTCTCCGAAAAATAGATAGCACACTATTCCCGATCAGGCCGCACGTTTTGATGTATTTTTCACGCCGCTGTTGGCAACGCTGTGTGAGGAGAGGCGTGATGTTGATAAACACACAGAGGCACACACGCACATACACTCCTCTCTCTCTCTCTGTGTGTCTCTCTCTCATACAGTCATTCAGGTCTTGGAGACTTTTAGAGCCCCCCCCCCCCCCCCCATTTTAAAATAAAAGCCTATAACTGTCTGTCTGCATGTCTCACTCTCCCACTCACTCAGTCCATCTGTCTGTCTGCATGTCTCACTCTCCCACTCACTCAGTCCATCTAACTGTCTGTCTGCCTGTCTCTCTCTCCCACTCACTCAGTCCATCTAACTGTCTGTCTGCCTGTCTCTCTCCCACTCACTCAGTCCATCTAACTGTCTGTCTGCCTGTCTCTCTCTCCCACTCACTCAGTCCATCTAACTGTCTGTCTGCCTGTCTCTCTCTCCTACTCACTCAGTCCATCTAACTGTCTGTCTGCCTGCCTCTCTCTCCCACTCACTCAGTCCATCTAACTGTCTGTCTGCCTGTCTCTCTCTCCCACTCACTCAGTCCATCTAACTGTCTGTCTGCCTGTCTCTCTCCCACTCACTCAGTCCATCTAACTGTCTGTCTGCCTGTCTCTCTCTCCCACTCACTCAGTCCATCTAACTGTCTGTCTGCCTGTCTCTCTCACTCACTCTGTCTCTCTCTCCTCTCTGTCTATCTTTCTGTCTCTCTCTCCCTCTCTGTGTCTCTCTCTATCATACAGTCATTCAGGGCTTAGATATTTTTAGAGGACTTTTCCCCTCTCACCCCCCCCATTTCAAATTCTATTGAAATTCGAATGAATTCTAACTGGAATGCATGCTTGTGATGAAGCCTCTCATTTTAGTGTCAAACATTATGATTATGTCTCCTCTCCCCCTCTCTCACCCACCCAGTCCCACCCTTTCAAAATAAAAGCCCCACAAATACAAGATTCAATCCAAGAGTATGAATCTAAAATGCAGAAAAGAGAGTAGCGCTATCTCAATTGAACCTGAATGACACTACCGGTAACATTGGCGTGTGTATATATTGCGATTTCTTCGGGCAGTAGAAGCCACACTGTCAAAATTTCTTCACGAATTTTCTAGTTATTATTATTATTAGTAGTAGTAGTATGATTAAGCCCGATGGATAATATACAGTGTGCTTTGGCACAGGCAGTTTTACTGCCTTGTGCCACAAAGCCACACTGAATTATAAGGATAACATGGGGTTAAACTATGATGAGCTACATGCTGTCACTCTAAAGTCTACATTTTTGTAAATTGTGCTTATGTGCTTTATGAATAAATGTTTGGGGTAATGATGATGTTGTTTTAAGTATTAAAGATAAAATACCACATTTGTGTTGCTGTTTTTTTAATGAGCTATTTCCTTGCAAGCTGTTTGTACTGATGATTCTGTCATTCATTTAATCTGTCACTCTCGTTTCTCTACATCTGGTGCACTTCTGTGATTCCGTCTCACTGAAACTAGAGGAAGGGTAGGAAAGGGAAAGAGATGGTGGTCTACCTTTCTTTTGCAGTATAGCACTCCCGCTGCGCCTCCCTATGTGGTTCTCCACGTAACAGGTGTAGTTGGCCAGGTCTGCCTCGTCCAGAGCATCAAACGTTAAGGACAGCTGCACCTCCTTCTCCCCTAAATGCTCCCTCAAAATCCTGGACAAACACGGGACAAGAAGGTAATAGTCAGAGACAGCAGGGACATCCCTTTACCCCAAATGTACTCCTTTAAAAACCTTTAAGGAAGACAGGGAGAACATGAACATGTATGAAACATTTGATGGATTAGCTGGAGTTGTATCCCAGATTACTTAAAAAAAAATAACCTTCAAGGAAGAAATGAGAGAGGCAAGAAGAGGAGAGGGAGTGTGAGAACAAGGGGAGAAGTAAACATGTATAACTCTTAGAGACAGTTGGAGGTCCATCTCCTACATTGCTCCACAAAATGCTGTGAAAGGAGAGAGGTGAGCAGGAGAGAAGGGGGAAGGAAGAGAAGAGGAGATGAGAAATAAAGAGTGGAGCAGTGTTGAGTGTAGAGCAGATGAAGGAGGGCAGAGAGGAGCAAGGAGGCACGTGTAGAAAACGTTGGCGACAGCTGGAAAAAAGACTCGCCTTATGGTGAGGTCATACTCCTCTAACAGCCTGCGGGGAAGAGAGAAGGCAGAGGAGGGGCAGACTCAGATGGGTCACGACGTGCACCTCTGAGTCTGATTTGAGATCAGATTCAGCCATAATCAGTGATATCTGACTACCAACTGTTGACATGGCATATTTAGTCAGCGCATATGGTCCGGTAGCATCACAGGTTGGGGAAATGTCTCTCATTTCATATGGCTTTAGAATTAAGTCAACGCAATGTTGCTGTCTCTTTTTTTTTTGCTTTTTGTTGTTTATCAAGGTGAACGCAATGCAAAATGTAGAGATGAAATGCCTGGTAAACTCAACACTATGCAAGCGGCATCAATTGTTTGTTGAGGGGACTTATTTCAGCATTCGACTCATTTGTTCGGCCCACTCTTTGTTAGATATAGGTAGCTAGCTAGCTAGCTCACAACTCTGTGAGATCAGTTGAAGCTCATTCACGTAGGTATCCGATGCTCAGAGCCACGGACGTAGCATTGAGAGCGGAAACCCCTCAAAGGGTGGGAAGGAGGGGTGGTGGATTGTTCAAACAAACAGGACATTTACTCTGTGGTTTGCTGTTTGTTTCCCACATCTCTGTAGCTTACTCTACAAGCATACTTATTTTAAGCCAAACCATGATTTTTTTCGAACCCTAACCAAGACCGCGACCGTTTTACAATGTTCACGGTGTGCAAAACCCTCTGCACGAAGATTCTTACCAAACAGCCAAAACTTAGCAAACCTGCCGTATGCAGGATAAGAGAACCACTACAGTCCTAGTTGCTAAGTTGTGATTGGACAATCGTTGTTTGAGGGATGAGGTTATAAACAAACAACACCACAGTCGCAAGACTTCAACGTCAAGACCACTAATAGTTTCTATGTTCGGCTAATGTTTCGAATGATGCCGTTGAATTTTTCCAAAGCCTGCTGTAATCACGTTTAGCCAATAGTTAGCAACGACAAGCAACGAAAGCTTACAAATCCATGCAAGACTTTAAATTCTCTTAAGCTTGTCTTAACCAAAGACCCTACTTTAGGCATCTGACCAAAAACCCATTCAAAAAAAACCATTGACGTTAAGATGAGGGAGCTGGAACGGCCAAAATGCGGACTCATTTCTGGGTTTTTGGACTAATTCCTGCAGTTCTATTAACAAAATCTGTCCTGTGGTCCAAAGGGGAGAATTATTTCAAAAGCCAGTGTCTTGTGAAATGAACTCAGTACCAGCTACACATACTTGAGGATTCACAGCTTGGACCTCAGAGGAAATTGCCTAAGACTGGAAACCAGAGAAAATGAGTTTGAGTGTGAGTAAGACACATCTGGACAGGGTTTTGGAGTGTCACATGGGCGAAGACACCCGTGTCAAATGTTGTGTTGGAAGATAGAAGATAGCTAGCATTTCATAAAACTGTATTTAAACTGTTATCAAAGTTTGGTTTTTACAACATGATGTAGAATTTGGCAGTGGTTGAAATACAATAACCACAGCAAAAATATCAATATCAAAACAAACACAAGCAATAATTACAGCACAATGCTACATGCCAGTGATGCAATTTCTTTTATTCACTGTATGTGTTGCAACAGGAGATGTTTTTTAAGAGGCTCTTAGACACCATGTAACTTCAAGCATGAAAAGCTTATCTCATAAAAACCTTGCAAAAGGGATTACATTTTCAATTTGGACGATGAAGTGGCTGAATCTAAAGTAAGGGAAAGCCCTGCAAATGGCCTTGCTCACACAAATCCATTATTTGGAATAATGGTTAAGCTTCCTGTAGAGAAACCTGAACACTTGATGCACATAGTGAAGAGGGAGTAAAAAAAGAATAAGAAAAAAAGGATGAATGAATTAGGCAAAAGAGCACGAGATGACAAAACATACTTTAAAAAAAACAAAAGATAACCTTTTATTTATTCTTCCTACTAAAAAGCACACATTTTAGTGATTTCCATTAATTGTTGACTGCATGAACTGCACCAGAACAGCCTTTTTGAATACACATGGTTTAAACAATAATTTACAAAATGGTAGCCTACATTGCTAGAAACTTGTTTTTTTCTAATGCTAACCAGATGTAGGCCTGATTAAAAATGAATAAATGAAGATTGATTTATAGGTTTGCTGTCAGATTTCACACAACGTAGTCATCCTCATACGTGTATATACAGTGCCTGTAAGTGGTATTGCCCAGCTCAATATGCAATATGGAATCTTCTGAAATGAGCTGCGGTGCGTAAGAGGTAAGCATTGAGAGCCGCCATCAGCTCTGCCTGTGGAATAATGATCCATGAATTAATTTGCAGCTGTAGCCAGCTCAGGCAAACGTTATTGATATACAGTATTATCTCTACATTCCCTCATATATTATTTTTATGTAATATAATAATATAATAATTTCTCCCCCCCTAAGCTAATTTGTCTCAAGTATGATCTAGCCTTCCACCACATTTGAATGAGTTTATGTCTCCCAGCGACTTTTGTTCTTTAAAGAAAAAACAAAAGGATAAAATATTGCATATTCAGCGTATAGGGCGGGTCCTCCCTGCACAAAGGGGTTGAACCACATGGGAGTCGGCACAGTCAAGCCATGGCCAACAGAGATGAGGTTCCATGGGGTTCTGCTCTGAAACTCACCATGAAAAAGAATCATATCTCTCACTTGAGGCTTTTATCCAACTGCTTGCATGTTTCGACACACACAACCTTTTAGCATGAGCGGTCGCTGTGGGAATTGAACTCCTGACCCTCTCAATATTTATGCTTTTCTCAACCCGTTTGGCAACAGAGAAGCAGAAAGAAGCTGTGAAATCTGAATACAGTATTAGTAGTGTCATGGTCACCTTACAGGAAGAATTGTGAGATTGAAAATGTCAAAGGTTTCTGAAGAAATACATCAAGTGATTTGGATCACCACTGTAAGTGTATTTTTCTCTCTGTCGGTGTTTTAGAGTGTGTGTGTGTCACTATCATGTCTACCAGGACAGAGTATTAGAGGTCACTGTCAAAAGCAGCGACGTGCTAAAATACTCGATTAAAAACACATCACTTCCGCTCCTCCTTTTCTCACCCCAGCCGTTTCAGACCTCCTTTTCTTCTCCTCTTACCTCCCTCCATCTCTCTCCAATCCATAACTCTCTCCACATCTGGTTTTAAACACAGTCCAACTAATTTATGTCTGAGTAGTGAATAATCATTCTGCCCATCTGTGATTGTTTTCTATACAACACTTAAGACATGGGTAAGATCTCCACTTTCATGTTAATGCAATGCTAATGTTATCACACTTGGCAATCATTTTTCAAAAAGATCAACAACCTCCTCTTCTCACACTCCGGTCATCTCAGTATTCACATCCTCCTCAACCTCACTGCTGCTTTTGACACCATCAACTTCAGCATTCTTCTACTGCCTGGGTCAACCTCAGTATCACTAGTACTGCCCTCTGGCTTCAGCCATTGTGTCCACCTCTGGTGCGCCACCTTTGTCCCAAGGTGTACCCCAGGGCTCATCACTTGGTCCTCCCCGTTCATCTTATCCATCTTCACGGTCTCCACTTCCACTGCTGCACAGATGATATCCAGCTCTATATGTCCACAAAATATATCGGCAATACATTTCACTCCACCAGGTCCTACTGCCTCTCTGAATCATGGATGAAAACCAACTCTCTTAAATTGAACTCTGAAATCTGGAAAAAGGTCTCGTCAAAACTGCAAACCACGTCCATAACCGTTACCAGCTCCACTCTGTCTCCCACTCCTCACATCTGCAAACCGGATTGTGGACACCAATAGCATGAATAGCAACCGCTATCGGCCATGTCTCAAGGTGTGATTCCCAAAAGATATTATTTTTTTGCAGATGATTGCAGTTATATATAAGTATAAATGTCGTACTCATTTGTATGAAAAGGGGCCAATTTTGCGCCAAATTTAGAGCAGTTAGGGGTGCGTGACCGTCTTTGTGGGTGTTTTGAGATTTCCGCGTTTTCTTTTTGTCTTATTTAAGCAATTCTAGCAGCCATGAAGGCCATGCTTTTGGTGAATTCGCCCCATAAAGTATATTGACAATGCTCTCCTTTCTGAAGTCTATGCAACTCTATGGAACTGATACATGCCTTTGATACAGTCAGACTTCACTTCCACAGTAGTATTGCTTATAGTAACCAAAGTTATTAAAAGATAATGCCACAGTCCTTAATATGATTAAAAAAAAGTAGTTCTTCTCTAACCATTGTACTTGTCATGGTAAAATCGTCTCTAAAACAACCTTTAGGTGATATAAAACACCTCTACACCTCTAGGTCCATGGAAAACTAATACTGGTAACTTCAGAAAAAGTGTAAACAGTAGCAAATAATAATCTAGAATGATGCAGATACGAGCTCTGGTTAAAAGAACCTTAAAACAGTGAGGCTTCAACAAGTTGGATCGGACAGCTGATGTGAATTTCAAGCAGGTAAAGAAGCCTCCACACCACTAGACATATGGGCCAGCGCTGCTTTCAAGTGAAAATGTGAAGGAAGCATCGGCCCAAATGGAAATATTGCAATTACAAATTCATTGCACATGATCGAACCACAAACTTTCATAGCTGAGTTGCAGAAATGTTGAGCGGCTGGACAGCATTGAAGCTGTGCCAACCACTGCAGTAAAACTGGAGATACTGCTCATATATATGATGCTGGTGGAAAAAAAAAGAACTCTTGAATTCATGAAGGAGACAGTTGCAGGTTTTGCAGAAGACGAGCGTGGAGAAAAAAGTGTGAAACGTCCTGTCTGTCGTGTATATTCACAGGTGGCTGCTCTCTCTGGGTGGTGTAGTAATAATGAGCGGAGAGTGTCAACAGTTCTCTCAAATACCGCAGGGTAACAAGAATTGGTAATTACGGGTGCTCACATTGTCATGGAGGCCACGAGATCCTATGCAACTAGACAGGGACACACACACAGTCAAATGGCCGGCGCTGCAGCAGGATGGGTGGTGGGCGCCGAACGTGGACAGATTAATGTGCAACACAACGGGAGTCTGTCTGCTGCAGCGCGATTGTTGAATTTGGAGTAGCAATGTGATGGGATTAGAGGTGGCCGGAGGACTGGACTGATAGATGGAGAACTCATCAGGCAAAGGTTAATTTAATACCACGGGGCATGATTAGTTTCAAGTTTAAACACTCATCCTCATGCACACTCTACCACACCCTTTTCCTCCGGGAGAGAACATTTCCAGAGGCCACCGAGTTGGCTTAGCAGTTACATAGACCCTCCTCAGAATGGAGTAGCTGGGTTCAAGCCCCAGCAGGTCAGCAAGCAGAGCTGCTGCTCAAGTGCCCACGGAACAAGACACTGAAGACCTCCCAGCTCCAGGGCTGCTGCTGGGTGCGCTGACCCTGACCTCTGACCTCGCTGTGGAGGCAGCCGGCGGAAGAGGGAAAAGGATTTCCTTTCAGGGAGGATTAAACATTCACATTATTTTTGGTGGGCTGAGTTGATGACATCAAATATGAAGGGTTTTGGGTCGGAGAGAACATTTTGTCTGGATTTTACTTTAAAAACTCTTTTCTAATAGTAAGGGTTTTGACTTCATCCAGGGTGAGGAAGTTAGTGTCGATGGCTAAAACCCTAAGTGAACAGAATTTTGAGAGTCTCTTTTCCATCCTACAACAATATTTCTTTTACAGGCTGCCGTATCAGAAGTGATTGTCAAGTAGTATTGCTCAAAAGTGGGCAGGTTGAACAATGGAAAGAGGACAAGCAGTGGACCCGGAGTGAAGTCATTGTAGATGGTGCACTTATCCATGCCAGCCTCTTCACAAGCTGCCATTGCAATGGTAAAGTTACACTTTGGGGGAAACCAAATGTAGCCACTATGTCCTTTTAAAGTAATAAAGCTGCAGGTTGTTGTCGACAGAGAGGCTGTTTAAAGTAACCAAACTGAATCACTGTTTAAACATTTAACTGTGATTTAATCTTTTAAATTACAGAATGTCAATTTACAGTAGATTATAGATGAATCAACTCTACATAACTGTGTATCTCATACCCTTGAATTACTCATATCTGTCAAACGAGTAACCTGTGCACTCAAATCCAATTGCCAAGAAAGGTTTAGTTCAAACATTGGAAACATATTTTTAAGGGGTTCGCTCATGTGCTGACCAATAATAGGTCCAACAGGGCAACAACCACTAGTGGTCAGAGGATCATACGGCTTAAAAATGAATCCACAGCTCAGTCAAATTTGGTTGAAAGTGTAGACCAAGTCCGACAGCCACACTACAAAAGGTTTCTACTAAACATCCACATGACAGCCTGACTTCCTGTTTGAACTTTGACCTGTGCATGCAAGTGTGTCACCATTTCCTTGTGCAATGAGGGATAATTACATCATATGTCACCTTCCAAAAACTCAGCAAACACTTTTGCAACGTTAGCATGAAATTCATCAAATCAAACCACCAATACCATTGATCTAGAGAGCTGCGATAATGAGATCTATAGGTTGTGATAAATCATAGTTTTCCTCCATCATGTAGAGCACATGAAGTGCTGCAATGCCACATAACGGAGTGCTGCTTGCGGATTTTGCAACAGGAGGGCCTAAATCGGTGGATAAATTGAATATTGAATTGAGTGATCCTGCAGCACTGCAGCACATTGGTATCAACATCGGTTTTAAAGTCTAGTCAATTCATGTGCTCTAATCCTGCACACCTCATCCCACCTCTACCCCCCCACACAGAGCACTCGCACAGCCCTACAGAGGCAAAGCCATTATAACCACTAGCACAAACAGTGTTTAAGGTCACTTTTGTAATAAAGTATTAGCTGTCCATGTACTTCATTTGCCTCCGTTGATGTCTTATCATCCGTACTAAGATTTTATACTTTTTCAGCCTTTACAAAGTCCTTCTCTCTACTTAGAAAATACGGTTGGGAGAGTTTACGAAAGAGTAGAATCATGCGAGCTCAGCATGACGTGCTCATACAGACCTCATCATGACTTTGGGACTCGTTCCTTCTGAACAACTTGAAAAGAGACAGAACTGTGTTGCACCCGAGACCACAAACTATTCCCCGTTAGAAAGTCATTCCCCACTTCCAAGCTGTTGCTCTACATTCATACAGCCCGATGATGAAACAATTCACTGCAGTCATTTCTGATGATCAGAATATGTTGCAATCACAGATGAATTGTACCTATGACCTGATGTGTTTTACAATCTGGAGGTTAATAGGTAACAGATGAATCAGTATTGAGCGACCTGTTTTAAGGTATAAGGCATATCTGTAGATGCATTTAAAAGTAATGTTCCCAAGCACTACACACACACATTGTGTGTGTGTTCTGATGGTTGTTTTAATGATATTTGACACCCCCGCAGACAATCAGGTTTTTCCCAGTGGAGCCCAGTGTAATTGGTCCCAATAGGGGAGAAAATGAATATAATTTAACTTTATTATTAGTATCATAATCTTTTTAGGAAAGTTAAGAAGAAATCTGTCGGAGAACCCTCAATGAGTCATAAATCATAAGAGAGCAAATTAGATACTGACAGTGTGAGGAGTGCAGCTGGAGTCAAGCCTTTTTTTTTCCAGAAATGAATTAAGAATAGAAACCTGTAAACTTGAGAGGCTGTAATTGATACTATACTGCCATGCAGTGTCTTGCAGTATTATGTATAATCATGTGTATTTACTCAACTTTGGTTGATTTTCAATTTACACCTGCTGTAGTGTATTTATTTCATCTCCTCTCCTCCAGGAAATGGTTCGGGATACCCACCATATGCGACTGTGGATTCATGTTTAGTCTGACGCCGGTGTATTTACCTGACTTCACTTTCTTTTATGTGTCCCGCGAGTTCTTCAACAAACTTTTCTCCTTTCATCCAGTAGATAATGGGCCTTCTGTTTTCTCCACTGTAGCCAAAAAACGCCTTGCAGTCCAGACTGAGAGGCATACCTGCAACACAAGCCACAACACTGTTGTAACACAGACAACAGTAAACTGAGACATCTATATTTCTTTCCACTGCAGCTGAAACAGCCACTGCAGTCTAGGCTGAAGGGAAATGCACACGCTGACATCTGCTGTGCATACGTACACAAGAAGAGAAGGTTAATGAAGAAAGTGGGAGCGTTATGGTAGAATATAGTTCTTGTGGCTGCTCAGAGTAGTGCAGCTGAAGGTGGGAAGCTGTCTAGTAGGTGTGCATCAGGGTAACTGCTTGGAGCCCCTGGAATTGGGCTTATCAAGCAATGTTGGCGGCAGCGATGTCCAGCCCAGCTGTTTATCATAGGAGTGATCAAATTTCATCAAAGTTTAAATTTATGGAGCAAAACTGTAACAGTGAAGCAGAAATAAAGGTATTGCATAAATTGTCAGTTCATAAAAATCACAAAAAAAGCTTTTCCTGTGCGCAGACTTTTGCTACCAATCCAATTCATTTTTTTGCCTTTATATAATATATATTACATATAATATAACAGAGTAACTTTTCAATGCCTTTAGCTTCTCACATATAATGGTTGTCGCAGCGGAAATCTTTGCATGGTTAAATGGCGACATTGGAAAATGTGAGGTGAACGGACCTTTAATGTACGAGGAACTGCTTAAGTAGAAAGCTGCTGACACACTGGGGGTTTCAGGTAGTTAGTGATGCATCTGTTGTTTCTTTACTCCATTTGCCGTCATGGCAAAACACCTTCACTGATTATTGTTTGACCAGAAGTGAACAAAAAACGGAAAAAAAACAACATGGGCTATTACATAGGCAACCCATATATGCTAAATGCAACAACTTCTGTGATCCAGTACATATGAACTATTACTGCTTAAAGAAAGACTGGACAATGCTAGAAACACACACGCACACACACACACACACACGCACACATTTAAGCAGACAGTATCCACACATGCTCTCACACACCCTCCTGTAAGACCTTGAAACCACCACTCTGTGATTACAGCTATCAGTGGCGATGATGGAGTATTAATGAGCATTCTAACGAGTGCTACCTCGTTAGGCAGTCAATTAGCAGATAATTATGATAGACCTCGGTATTATCATAATGATAGCTCTATCAGCACTCTATCCAGGACCGACATCGAATGCTAACAACATGTGAATATCTGTGCGTTTTGTTGTCAGTGGCGCTTGAACTGAATGTTAACATTGTTCACATTGTACACATAAACTGTGGCTGATCTTCTATGCAGAGTGAGTAGGAGAGGACTCTGCTTCTGTGCAAGTGGTGTCCTCACTCCTTGTGGAAGTTAATCCCTGTAATGACTTGTTTCTTTTAAAGGGCAGCAAAGGTACAACTGGTTATAAGGGTTGAATAAACATGGGACTTTATCAATTGGTCATGACAAAATGCAACTCTTTTCATATGGAAATGACAGATGATTGCTTTAAGTTTGGTTTCAATTGCTTGGCTTATTCAGTTGGATGAAAACATTTGACGTTTGTCCGTCTCTTAAAAATGATCATTACTAAAAAATCCAAAAAAGGGAAGTGGTCTGGAGAGCTTTAGATATGCTGTGTGTGTGTTTTGGTGGTGTGTTTGCTTGCCTTTGTGCTGAGGCAGGCAGCACACTGTACTACACACACACACACACACACACACTCTGCAGTAATTGATTAGCACCCCGAGGGCGTGTTTGTGTTCGCAGCATGTTACCATGATTAAAATCATCAACTTTGTCTGCACTTGTGCGGCACGAGGGTTTGTGTGTGGGTTGCGCCTGGTGTTGTTGTGTGAGTGTGTGTGTCAGTTTCTCTCAATCACAAGTACCCGCCCTGAAATCCAGTCTCATACAGCCAAGCGGTGTCATAATTTCTATTCGCGGCCAAAGCAGCAGGGTGTTTATAAGTACAAAAAAAAAAAAAAAAAAAAAAAAGGTAGGTGCTATGTTGTTTCCATTAGTATCAAAGCAAGACTTTCCACCGATGATTGACAGGAGCTTTTTCAAGTCGCTGCATCATCATTTCTTGCCATCACACCTCGACGTTCCTGTTTCAGCTGGTGTGAAGCATACATCAACCGCCCGCTCTATCCAATCATGAGTAATTATGTCAACAAAAAGTCACATGACTCATGAGTCCAAACCAATCTGATTCCAGTCTTAGTAACTTTAATTCAGCGCGGCCGCTCTGACACTCTGATTCACCTAAAGAAGCAGATGAATGGGAGCGTCGGTCCAAACAGTGCTCTGCCCTCGGTTCATTCTTTAACGCCGCCATCCGAGCAAGAGGAACTGCTGGTTGTCAGACGCCGACATCTGTTTCCTTCAGCCTCGTGTTTTGAGGTTGTTTCCCTGCTGTTGGTTCCGGCCGTGTTCTCACTGCAGACAGTCTCACTTCATCTTTCTGTGTTCTGATTTTCAGCGGTTACCCGACTAAAACACATCCCCCACATCACCACTTAACATGATTGGTGTGAATTTGCCTTCCATTTAGTGCCTCTATTGTGATGTTTTCGAGTGTTTAACTCCAATTCGGTTTAATTAGGACATTGATGATTTAGGAAACTATTCTTTGCAGCCAAATTATCACAAACAAAATTACCAAGAAGACAGTGTAAGATACAAAGGTTCAGAACCACATATCACATCAAGAAACATCAGCTCTGGTCTCTAACACCCGTTAATATAGTTATTAAAGCTGCAGTAATATCTTATATTCTTTACATCAACAATAGATTAAAGTATGTGGAGGGTGTTGCTGAGAGTGGCGAGCTCACAGAAGAAGATCACCTTAATTTGGATTATTTTGGTCCAATCTCACCAGCGTGATGTTAGCATTGTGAAGTCTGTATGAGACACACCCTGGTCTCAACTAACTCCAATGTATCACTGCGTCACCATCAGACGCTCAGAGCAATGGACGTAGTGTTGAGAGCGAGAGATTCCTCCTGAGGGTGGGAGCTGAGATGGATGGGCTGAACAAACAGCACTTTTACGTCACGTGGCGCTACACCACTGAGTCACGAGGCTTTACATTTGTAGCTTAATTAACATAACAAGCGTACTTGTTTGAAATCAAACCAATTGAAGTTGAAAGTTGAAAATACCTATCCGTTCCTACAGAATCTCACAGGATTGTAATTATTGGAACCATTATTGTAGAATTAGTTGTGGCTTCTAAAAAAAACAACAATAATTTGCATCTACTTTTGTGTTATTGGAGTGAATTTTAAAGCAGAACCTTTTTTTCAAAGGACTTGCACTCAAGTTGAGTGATTTTCATTTCTTTCCATTTAGATTTTCTTACAAATATTCAACAAAAGCTTTGGAAAAAAACACATTGTTAATGAACACTTGTTTATTTCATGAATCATAATAAGCATTCAGTTGTTTATTACAATCAAACTCATCTCAAATCTTTCTCTGCCAGATTACTATCACAAGATGATCTTTTTTGTGTAACTAGGAATTTCACAGTGAGCATAACATGTTATGATTTACATACATTTGTGCAATGGCAAAATCCCAAATTCCTGGAGGAAGTGATCTGCGATGGCAGTGATGTTTGGTATACATGAAGAGTGAGAGGGAGGGACGGAGGGAATCCATAGAAACAGTGTGTCTGCTTTGCTCCCTCCTTTGTAACTATTGCAGCTACTTTTCACATCATTAGTTTCACTTGTCACTCGTTGGCTTTCACTGCTCTCTCCTGGCTTTTCACTTCTTCCCACCACTAAAATAGCTCCCCTGTCTCTCTGTGTCTCCCTGTCTCCTCTCCTCCTTTTATTTCTTTCCTTTTTTCCTCTTTGCTATCACTCCCCCTCTACGCCTCCTCAGTCTTTCCTCCCATCTCTCCCTTGCCCTTATCATTCTCGTTTTTATCTCTTCTAGCCTTTGTCTCTATATGGCGCAAGTAAACCCATGGCCTGATATGTTGCAAAGTGTCACAAAGGGGGTACAAGGTGAAATAATCAAATTACCTTTGAAATAACAAGGTGTACAAAGAAACACTTTGTTAAACACTGTTGTGGCATAATGAATAAGAACAGTCAGGTGAAGGATTATTGGAGAGAAGTAAGAACCCTTAATGAGGGAAATGAATCACTGAAAACTGTTTTACACACACACACACACACACGCACACACACGCACACACACATAATCCTATGTCCGTTGACTTGACAAGTCCGTATGACAAGAAAGGACCGAAGTTAATAGACTTTGACTGTGATACATTTTCATAATTCTGTCATCTGTGATTCAGCCCCTTCATTAAACCTTGGTCTACTTATTACCAGCATTAAGATTAAATAAAGGTTATTGAAATTGATAGTGTCAGGGTGGAGGCAGTGTGCTCCAGTGTGGAGATGGAGAAAACATCTCACACAGGCGAGAGGTTTTCATTTTACGGTTGATCCAGTAGTGGGGTTTAGACTTGCAATAGACAGCTGCATGAGGGCAAAGAAGGACGAAATGGAAACATCTCATGGCAACGTAAACTCATACAGCGGTTTGTACCATAGCTTACAAAAAAGTTACTCCTCATTTCTTTTGTGCTTTTACTACGAAAGTCCAGCAACACGTGTCAACTTCTGGTCATGCACACAATCTTTTCAAATGAAACTCCACAACTTCACAGTCTTGACAGGAAAGATTGTGTAATACTTAGTTAGGTTGAGCAAACAAAACGACTTAGGTTTAGGGAATGAGCGTGTTGTACTTAATTAGGTTTAGGTAACAAAACTATCTAGTTTAGGGAAGATTGTGTAATACTTCATTAGGTTTAGGAAAATATTGTGTAATAGTTAGTTAGGTTTTGGCACTTACACATTGGCTTCACTTTTCAGAACCGGAGGTTGCTGCCTGGACTTACTGAATGTGTAAAGAGGCAACTGTTTACTAAAGCGTTATTACACTGCCCCTAAGTGGCCAAAACCATATAATAAACTTCCATAACCTCAAGTATTTATTAGATAGATGGTGTAGATGGT